TGGTATTTGGTTGGGTGTGGGTGTGTGTGTGTGTGGGGGTGGTTTGTTGTTTGGGGGGGGGGGGGGGAGGTTCAGGAAGAGGGCAGTTGTTTGGGATATTACAGACACCAGAAACACAAATAGCAAGCAACAACAAAATACATAGTTTCCTAGAGGAGCAAAGGGATGCAGAAGTCAAGACTTTGTCTACCACATGCACTTCATGTCCTTATACATCTCTCAGTTCAGAGAGGCAAACCTCCTCACTGAATCGGCCAGATTGGATCATGCAACCCACAGCTGGGATCTGAATTTAAGCTCCTTGGGCTCTCATCCCAAGTTCTTCCCTTGAGGCCAGGTAGCATCAGAGTTACCAGGACCTTATCCAAACACACGTTGCCCTGCCTAACCCCACAGTGTCTGATTCCATGATCTGAGGTAGGACTTCAGAGTCTGTATTTCTCATAGCCTCCCAGGATGCTCACGCCATAAGTCTGGAGTCCACATTTGAGAGCAGTTTCTGTAAAGGCCATGAGTGAGGGAAAATATTCCCCTCACACCTTTGCTGTGCTGTTTTCACCGCATGGCTTATTATGTAAAGGTTACTTATTAAGAAAATGATGATTCACCATCATTAAGATTTTTAAGTTTTAAGTGAAACATTTTTCATTTAGTCAGCAACCAGCCCAGGAGGGAAAAGAAAGAGAAAGAACAGCACAGATCACATATGAGGATCTCTTACCTTGGTGCTTTTTTCTCTGGTAGAGGTAGGTGGTGCTTTTGTGCCTGTGCCCTGGCCTGAGGACAGGCAAAAGGGATAAGGGCACTCTGTATGTGTCTACTGGCTGGTTGATGGGGGTTTTTACTTTAAGTACAGTCTGATAAACCAAGTGTTTCTTCCTGGGCAGAAGACTCAGGCCCACTTGACATTGTAAGGTAGAAGAATATAATGGGAAAAATACTCTTGAGTGTGAATGTATTTTTGTCCATGCTTCTGGCTTCTGCTGGAGTGAAACTGAACACTAGAAGTGATGAATTCAGCTTTCCAGATAAGGGTCCCTAGAGTGTCCCCTGAGGCAGAAGGCTAATCATTTAAGTCTGCAGACCCCTGGCTTAGGTAGAGACATAGTGGCACCCACAGGATAAGGACACACACATGTCTAGCCTCTGGAATGAACCCACCTGGCAGAAGAAAGTCGAAAGGAGGCCAGACCCATAGTTTTCATATTTGCTTAGCACTCAGAAATAACTTCTTGATGCCAAGACCAAGGGTTGTGATCTTGATAAAATAAAAGTTTGAAGCCCTGAAAATATACCGAGTTACCACCAGTTCGCTTTTATTAAAAGTTCAAGCCAACAAGTTTCACATTCCACAAGTACTAGCCATGTGGGGAATGGGGCGTGCCACCCACAGCACACTGGGCCCACTCCTCTTCCCCTCCAGGGTTTTCATAAAAGAAAAATGAATGCCTGTGATTTCTCACTTGGCTTTGAAATCTCCTTGGACCTCACAGCTCTCCTCAGTCTTTGAGTGAAGCCATTATCAAAAGGTGAAGCTAGTGTGTATTTATTTTTAATCAGACAACCACTTTTTATTGCCACTGTGCTGTGGAAGGATGGCGCCCCACTGAGAATGAACACATGCATCTCTAAGAATGAACACGTGCATCTGTAGCAATTGAAATGAAAAGATATTCTTGAGTACAAGAACCAGGCACAAAATAGCACATATGTATGATAGCCAGGTCTATAGTGAAAGGCCTGGAAGGTTTCTAGTGTTTTTCTCTTTTCAGGTAGGGTCTCAGAAGATTTTTTTTCCTTTTTTTTTAAACTTTCCTGTATAATTGGAGTTCATTAAAGTACTACCTGGTCATTTGAAAAGTCAGGGAAAACAATTTCCTAGGTGGGGGAAGACTGAAGTTGAGCTTAAGAGGCAACACACTGAGCAACTTGACCCATAGGATACTGCCTGATCCTTTATCTGGGATGTCTCTCCAGTCCACTCATTATTTCTATCTTCTGTACATCTTCTAAAAGATGAATGATGTAATCCTTGGTTAATGCAATAAGCAATGTGAAGGATGACATAATGATGGCAATTTATTTTGCTAATGAACCATCCCCATAGGCCTACACCTTTTAGTACACTAGCTGTTAATGTTTACATTGAAATTCAAGAAGTAAACATCCACAATTGCACTGGTCACATTCCAAATTCTCCATGGTCACATGTGACCAGGTTCTGTTGTGTTGGACACCACAGAATAACTTTCTGTCTTTCAGTGTCTGTCTCTTGAGTCTTTGCAAATGCCTCAAAATAACTGGTGCTTGATGTAAGGGCTAATATTCCTATGATAAAACAGTAGGTTTAGCGAGGAAAACTAACATCACTAAGATCTCATGATGGGTCCTAGGGTTTTCTTCCTTCCTCCTCCCCCACCTTCTTTCTTTTTTTCCTTCATTTTTTTTTCAGGGATTAGTGGATCCATACAATAGTTAGAAAATAGAAGTTTTCTTCTCTTTAAAATTAAAACTTCTCAAAAAAAGCACTAAAATTGGCCCTAGTGGGTTCTGATTTATGTTGAAGATTAAGTTGTGTAACTGATATCTATTTTTGCATCCCAAAGCATTTTCATATATAATAACACTACATATGAAATGGGTACTAATCTATTACTTTATATAAAAATACTGTATTTGTTGTAATTTTTTTTTCGGTTTTTCGAGACAGGGTTTCTCTGTGGCTTTGGAGGCTGTCCTGGAACTAGCTCTTGTAGACCAGATAGATCTGCCTGCCTCTGCCTCCTGAGTGCTGGGATTAAAGGCGTGCACCACCACTGCCCAGCTGTATTTGTTGTAATTTAAGAAAAGCGGTGCATGAGAGAAAAACACATGCAACAGGGTTCAAGCAGAGAGGTTTTTAATAGGGAAAGGAATCATAAAAAGGGGAAAGAGGATGGGGAGACCAGCCTGCAGGAGCAGTGGGAGAGAGGAAAGAGAGACATACACATAGAGAGAAGAACAGACAGAGAGAGAAGAGGATGGGAAGTAGTCAGGGCCCCTTTAAAAGGGAACATAGTGAATGTGCACAGGTGGTGTTCAGGTCACTGGACAGTGATGGAGCATGGAGCACACCTTTAATCCAGCACTCAGGAGGCAGAGGCAGGGTGATCTCTGTGAGTTCAAGGCCAACCTGCTCTACAAAGCTAGTTCCAGGACAGTTAGGGCTGTTACACAGAGAAGCCCTGTCTCAAGAAACCAAAGAGAAGAGAAGAGAAGAGAGAGAGAGAGAGAGAGAGAGAGAGAGAGAGAGAGAGAGAGAGAGAGAGAGAGAATAGGGTCTGTCTGTCCTCATTTTATTCCATCTGTAATGTTCTTTCTAAGTAAGGTCACATTTGTCGAGAGCTGGGATTGCAGGCACAC